TATAGAACTTAATTTAAACATAAATTAGTAAATTTAACAAAAAAAATTATCAAAAGAGGGTATGAAATAAATTGAAAGTCTAAGACCAAAATAACACTCTATAAATATATTAAAAAAATAATTAGAGCTTATTTTTGGGTATAGTAAAATAATGATTATTAATTAATATTTTAGTATTTTTAATTATTTATTGAAAAACTAATAGATTAGTTATTTATCATCTTGTATATTATCTATTAGTAAATTAGTAATTTTTTTAATGAATTAATTTTTTTAATATAACTAATAAAAAGTTATAAAAAAAATAACGAGTTACTTGAACTTATCGAATCAAATTAGACTTTACTTGATTCAGCTCGTTAAGGTCTCGAGTTGAACATAAATTTGAGTCGAGTCTACTCGATTTGAGCTTTATTGAGTTTTGACCGAGTCGAGTTCAAATTGCTCACGAGCTATTTAACTCAATAAACACCCCTAGAACTGTGTCATAAATCCCCTTTTTAACATAGGCGTTAGTGGAATTTTTTAATGAAATTGATAAATTATCAAGGAGAATAATCCAGGTAAACTTTGATGGTGTTTCTTTCCATTGACGCACAAATTTGAAGTCATTATTTGAAGCCCTTTTCTAGGTTCTAGAGCTCTTGAGGTACCATTATGGGTGGTTTATTTGATTCCAGAATTAGCGTAGGAATTCATTTAATAAAATTTTATTTGTCGAGAAAAAGAAGTATCAATATTAATATGAGTAATATAAAAATTAATATCCAAATTTTGAACATTCTTTAGAACACTCGCGTTTATATGAATTTATTTCGTTGTGATTTTATTACTTGACAATAATTTAGTATAATTTGAGGAAAATTATAATCACTCATTTAAAAATTAATATATAATTTTTATGACTATTTTATTTGCTCACCGCCCTCCTTATTCATCCTCTCCACCTTTCGCATTAGACCACATCTTAATCCTCTAATATTTCATTCATTATTTTATTTTTTTCTTACCCAAATGGAGGTCTTCTTCTAACGAAACATTGGCCATAAACTTTTTTAATACTTTAATTTCATTAAATAACTTTGAATTCATATATAATTTTAGATATTTTTATAATTGATAATGCTTTCTAGATATTCTATTCAAAAGAAGTATGAAATATTTAAGAAATTTGAATAAAAATTATTCATATACGACTTAAACATCACAAAGTTTTATTTAAAAGTAGTAATAACAATAACAACACATTTTTGTTGCAAAATTATGTTGAGGATATTATAACCTCTCAATTCTGTCAATTCTCAAGCATATACTAGATAAGTCTAACGAGTTGGTCCTCATAAATAACGAATTACTCAACAAGGCTTACTGCAAATGCACCGACGACGAAAACCTTCACATTCTCCATCTGTGAAACCCTCTGTCTCGCATATAGTCCGGCAGTTCCTATTACTCGTGCAAATACCTCTGAATTTAATACTTGGATTTTCACAGTTTTTACCCTCCACTGTCATTGGGCTCATCACTATTTTGTTACAAAATCATGAAAAAAAAATCAGACAAAGTGTTTTTCCAAAGAAAGAAAGGAATGTCAAATATAAATAATAAATATATATTCAAGTCCTATATTAAATGTATTCAATATATTCATATTTTATTAATAACTTAAATATATAGCAAATTATGTAACTAATTTAAAAGCGATGAAAGAAAAAACCTATTGTTAGAAGAACCAATAGAAGAAAGAAAGCAGTTGAAATTGATGGAGTAAGCTTTGCCATTCTGAATATTATTTTAGAAAGTGAACGATCGATAGAAAAAAGAAATGTTTTATTCGATGTGATGAAACTAAAACATCGTGAGGCTTTTATATACATATTAATATTAGAAGCAGTTGACGAAAAAAGTGGACGAAACTAACATGTGTTGTATTTTAAAATAATCTTAAATTACATTCATTTAAACCATAATTATTTAATATGTTATATTTAACTTAATTTTTCTCTTTTTATTTTTATAATTAAAATAAAATATATTTCCAGGATCGCCATGCAAAACTATGACGTGTAGACCTGACTCCAAGATCACATGCAAATATTCATGTATTATACTGGAAGCATGTAAAGTGGGAGGTGAAGATTTATCCCCTTCCTTCTAGGCCTTAAAATTGAACCTTCATTAGCTGAGCACAAACATATCATTAAATTGCCCATTCTCCAGCAATTGTTGGTATATTAACTTCCCCATGTCATTACTATTTTAAAAGAACAATAACTTTAGGATAAATTATGCGTTTAACACTTAAATTGTTAGTTTTGATCCATTTTAGTACTTAAACTTTTAACTTTTTCAAAATTATACCTAAAGTTTAATTTTTGTTTAATTTGGTGCCCGTCGTTAAAAACTATAATTTATATTTCATTTTAGTATCCCGTTTAAAATTTAACATTAAGTTTTGAAAAAAATTGAAAGCTTAGGTACTAAAATGGACCAAAATTTATAGTTTAGGTATTAAACACGTTAAGTTTTTAATTGCGATGTACTAAAATGAAATGAAAACTAAACATTTAGTATGGTTATGAAATAATTGAAAGTTCAGATACTTAAACGAAACAAAACTTATAGTTTAAGTACTCGATAGGTAGTTTACCCTAGTTTTTATATTTTATTGCAAAGGATAGGAATGGAATTTCAATTCCCCACCAATTGTCCCTATTAAAAATTAATAATGGAGTTGCACGCATCGAGATTTGAGCTATCATCGTATGGTCTTAAGTCATCCGTTGACTTTACAAACGCTACAAATCAAGCTTTCAGTTCCAGAAATGGGGATTTTTGGCAAACAACACAAAACAACTAAATTTGTGAAAAACTCCATGTAAGTCCTCACAATCTTCTTTCGTCTTACCTTTTATTATTCATCATTCTATTGTTCTATATCTACTTATGTTCATATTTTCTACTTGGCTGGAAAAAGCCTTTTTAAATTTACTTCTTACTTATTTTTCCCTTTTTCTCCTATTAATGGTAAACTGTATAAAGGATAAAAATGAACGGTGCATACAAACTTTTAAGTGCAAAAAATCGTATGGTAACAACGATTTACAAAAGTATAACAATACTGTTTTGTTGTTCTCATTTTGAATATATCGTATGCATGGAAGCATGAATCTCAGAAGAATGAATTTTGTTACTTGAATTGTATGAATATATGATGAAGCAAACAATATCTGGAATCCAAGGGTAGATGTTGCTAAGCTCAGACAATCTCACATAACATCCTAAAAATCTAACTCAATAAGTGATTTTAGTAATTAAAGAGCATAATATTTTTTTATAGGTCTTGCGGAGTGTATGATTATTTACAATAATTAATAAAAATTCTTAAATATTACTTTTTACTTGTCCCAAACTATATAAGAAAAATGTAAAAAAAAAATTATTTTTTCAATTCCTAGGTTCAACTTGACCCGAATCCAAATCCAGTCCAGATTAAAAGACTTTATTTGGGCTTAGTCAGAAGAAGTAGATATCAAGAACTCAAGGTAAAATTGGCCCAATAGTCTAGGTAGAAAAAAAAATTAGATTAATTTGGAATCCACAAAATATATTACAGTGCAGAGGAAAATTATCATATCGATGTGATAAATTTTGAAGTGACAGATTTTAATAAAAAATATATTTTATTAGAACTTCTAATGTAATAAAAATATAATGTAATAAAAATTAATATTGTAAATAAATCAAGTAAACAAGAACATTTTCATGTATCTTTTATCGAATAAAATTAAACTTTAATAAATCAATCAATAAATGAGTTTATAACAAGAATAAATAAACGAATTTATCCATAAATACAAATAAAATGCATCATTGTTCAAACTCATTCACATAATTAAATAAGCATAATATTATTATCCATACTCATCTCTTTAATTTAATAAAACGAATAATATATAAACAACTAGCATATAACTATTCCAACCATCTACTTATTTACGGCCCTTCAACAAACAATAACCAATATTTTATCATGTTTTATGCACATACCTCTAGTAATTCCTTGCAAATAATCAAATTGATCAGATGTGCACATTTAAAAGGTTTTTTTTTTGAAAATATATCATTTTATTTTTACTCTAATTATAAAAAAGTTGCACACCCCAAAATCTAAATAGCTCCTAATTATGACCGTTTAGCCACTTTTAGTCCTTACGACCCAAAATATAAAGAGACTCTTTATAGATGTAATTGAATCAAAATGAAGCTCACATGTTGTACTTCAATTTACAAATTCAGACTAAAAACCATGGTGGCTGAAAATATATGTTTTATCTGTTTGATCACTCTTACTTACCCTACCCGGATTTTCTAGGTTAGTAGCATTAGCTCCCTTTCGGCTTCCGATTCACACAACATACGAACCAGAGTCCATGCTACAATTTTGAAATAAATATAGACCAATTTCGAAATCAGCCGAGAGAGTTAAACCCAAAATCAATATCAATTGAATCATCATTATTAGAACCCTACATGCAGATAAATTTATGAAGAAGCGGTTAAAGCTAAAGAGTTTAATTAGGGGACAACTTACAAGGTCTTTAGTCTCTCCCTGTTCAGTTCTTAACCTTGTCTTATTTGTATGAGTGATAATAAAAAATAATATGTTTAGATTTTTTCTAGTCAATTGATAATGATCATACACACTTTCAGACATAATTGTTCGAACCATACCTCAAGAAAGAACAATCCCTTCTACCATTGAAATTTTTTTACCTATTGAAACTGGTGTCGAAACATTCTCTTTCCTTATTTTCCCCTAATCTAAGAAATTAAAGGCAAGAAACTGCATTTCTCACGTAAAATTATTTAAAAGAGTACGCTTTGTCTTTTATACCTAGGGTGCATATAGTAATGGGCGAAGAATTCGCCTTCACTAGATTCGCATCAACAAATACATATAGCATTCAACAAGAAGCAAAGATGAATTACCAGAATCAGAAATCAAATAATTATTTCCCAAATTGAAGCACTTGAATCAAATGAAGCAAATAGATTGTCTTTCAATAACTAAACACACCATTTCAATTCATAATTCTTAACAGATAAGTAGGTAGGTAGATAAATAAATAGATAGATATGTAGAGAATTCAAGTGAGAAACCCTAAGATGTCGAAACTTGTTGGTATTCTCCTCTTTCCCACCTGAGTAGCAAATTAAATTCCATCAGACAAATTGCCAATAAAAAATTATCGTAAAACTGATAAAGTTTAGGGCAAAACCAACCTGATATCGAACAGTCAAAAGCGGTTGCCACCTTCATCCCAAGCATTAAGCTGATCGACAATGTGAGCGTTGATCTCAGCTATCAGTTCTCTCAGGCGCTGATTGTTTGCCCTAATCTCATCGAACATCAAAGGGAACTTCTTCAATAGCTTTTCAATCTTTGTGGCTGATGTCTCCTTCCTTTTCTTTTTCTTATCCTTTTTCTTTTTATCAAATCCTTGCTTTGGTTTGCCAATCTAAACGGAAATTTTAAAGAATAACAATACAGAAGAAGAAAAGAACCCAGAAAAGAGTATATATATTAAGAGATGAAAAAAGATCGACCTTATAGGAAGTACCTCAAACTTGGGTTTCCTTGACCTAAGATGCTTCTTTTGGGAAGCGCTGGATACAGCTTCGTTAGTTGCACCCATGGAATTCTTACTTTTCTTCATCTGCTCTCTGCAAGTTATCATCAGTGTTATTTTCTTTGAAGATTTCATAGTATGCTATAAAATGCTTGTTGATTCGGATTATAAAAGAAAGAAACTGGTATTTGATTGATATGCATCAATACTATAAACTCGTTATGAAATTCAGTGGTTTATAAAGCTGACCTTGAAATTCTTTGTTTTCCCATGATTAGCTACACCGATCTGCTCCCAGTGTTATGGAGTGGAGAATTGAGGATGGTCAAGTGTTGATGTCCCTTCTTGCTCTCTACGCTACTCTTTATAACACTTTTTGTTTTTTATCTTCTTTTTGGTTTGACCTAAATAAAACAAAAGGGGTACGTGATAATAATAAAAATCCAAGTTGTTTAGTGGAAAATGATTTTCTTTAATAAAAAAAAATTATCTTTAGATGTTTGTTTTGTAAAAAATAAAATGGCCAAATAAAAAATAACTAGCTATTTTAAACAAGACCATTTTTCTTACAATTTGACTTTTCTCTCTTAAAGAATGTGAGAAATTTTTTTGGAAAATAGTTTTTTTTTTATAATTAATAAAAGTTTTTAAGTCAAAATTTAACTTAAATTAAACTAAATATTTATATTGATAATATCTTTAAAATAATTTTTTTAAAAATATTTTAAATATCAATACTATTAAATTATTTAAATGTTATTAAACATACTATTCTATATTTTAATAGTATATAAAATATATTTTCATTTAAATAATAAATTATTTATATGTTTAAATTTTTTTTTAAAATAATTTATTATTATTATTATTATTATTATTATTATTATTATTTGTAAATATTTTTCTTAATATATAATTGAAGAATGTTTTATGTAACTATTTTCATAATTGTACCAAACAAAACTATTTTCATTATAAATATTTTACAATAAATGTTTCGTAATATAAAATTACGAACATTTCAACAGTATAAATGCTAATAAAAATAATCATTATAATATCTGTGACATATTTTGATATTATTTTTTAAGGAGTGTAATTAATTTTTTAAAAAAAAATAAGTTTGAAAATTAATACGTTTTTCTAAAAAAAATATGGACTGAATTAAAATATTTAAAAATTTAAATTTCTATTAAAAGTTTCATAAAATATAAAAGAAACTAAATTAAAACTTTTAAAAGATTATAGAAAATTTTTCCGAGACTTGGAGGCCAAGATAATATTTGATAGTTAAGGATCGGTCGACTACGTCAAACGTAAGGGTATCGCGCGATTCACTCTGCCTTACAAACTCACTTTCTAGAACACCAATATAATAATAAAGAAAACTATGTTGCACGTCGTATACCGCAACGTACCACTAAAGTGACGTATCGAAACACATCACAATTAAAGTTGTCCTTATTATATAAATATTAAAAAGTATTGGATTTTTTAAAAATTAATCATTAATTAAAAAATTAATTTTATTTTTAATAGAATTATAATTAAATAATGATTTTTTAATTAAAAATAATAATTAATTTTAAACTAGTTTGTTTAGAATTGAGATTTGTAAATTATTTAAGTTAAATAATCATAAACAATAGTCACCGTCGGAGATATTAACTAACCAGAAAATAGGTCGAAAAATTCGTTGAAAAATATTATATTACAAAGAGAAAATAACCTCAGTGACAAAAAATGCATTATAATATACGATTTTAACCAACTTTTTTTGGATTTGCCAAAATGACCAACTAAATCGCAATGCGATCGATAATTCGCAACGCGATCTCCAGTATCGCAAATCAGTTTCCAGATTCGCAACGCGATTCTGACTATCGCATTGCGATTTCCCAAATTCGCGTTGCGATTTTCCTAATTCGCAATGCGAATACGTAAATCGCAACGTGAATTTGAAAAATCGCAATGCGATTACGTAAATCGCAATACGAATCTGACTATCGCAATGCGATTTACATAGCGCCATTCGTATCCAACGCGTATTTTTTTTTCAAATTCCAAACACGAATATATTAATATATCGGAACACTGAACCGTCCACAGTATATCCCGTAATCGCAACTCATAACCTAAAACCCTAAATCACAACTCAGTCTCATCTCCATCTCTCACTCTCTAAGGCGACATCCGTCCCCATCTCCGACGAAATCAGTCCCCATCGCCGACGATATCAGTCTCCATCGCCGACGATATCAGTCTCCATCTCTGGCGAAATCATTCACGGTCAAAAATGGAAAATCAACCAAATCAACCACCGATGGTTAGTTTTTTTAATTATTTTTATTTTGAAATTTTTGCATTATTATTAGGTTTTTCATATTGAAATTGATGATAAGTTTACTAGTGTTTTCAATAATAGATTAACCATTTCACTTAGATTACTTATTATATTCATTCGATTGCTGCCAATACTGCTAAACTGTTTAGTCTTTAACCCTGTGAAGTTAGTATTTGTCTTTGTTTTGTCTTTTGGTTGAAGTAATGCAATCCATTCAAGTTTCTTTCAATTTTAGTATTTGAAACCGAGAATGACTATCGCAATGCGATTCTGTCATTGCGATTTTCATTTCGCGTTGCGATTCTTGCGTTGCGATAGTCAAATTCGCGTTGCGATTTTCATTTTCGTGTTGCGATTTAAAGTTTCAGAAACTATTCTTCTTCTGCAAATTGAAACTTGAATGAATTGCATTACTTCAACCAAAAAACAAATACTAAATTCACAGTGTTGCAAATTTAAGTTTGAAGAATAAACTACTACTCTTTATGTTTATTGTTCATATCTTCACAGTGTAGTTTTTGGTATATCTAAATTGGTATGTTTATTGTTTTTGCAGAACTTTTATTCGGCTCAATTGACCTTAAGAAATAAAGTAAGCCTGGCCAAAACAATTGCGTCGAAGCTTTCACCTGCACAAAGAAAAATATTTGAGGATACTTGCTTCGGGCCATGGCTAAAAGTAAAACATCCGGGTGGAGATGCTATGTTGACCCATCTGTTTCTTCAAACCATGACTAGCGATCTACCAGAGATATACAACGTCGTGATGAAGAGATATGGTTTGATTTTCCACCGGCGTATACGTGTTTTGGGCGGGAGGAGTTTTGCTTAATCACCGGTCTACACTTCGGATATGATGATGTAGATCAATACACTAGACATATTACCCGCCTATCATGGTTTTCCCGGGTTTTTCCTGAGCTGTCAACGGAGAAGTCGAATTTACACGTGGAATACTTGACGAGATTATTGAATAAGAAAGATGGTTTTACTCGGATGGATGATGTCGATGTTGTCCGAGTATGCCTTCTAATACTTTTGCAAGCTGGCTTTTTAGGCAGAGAGGCCCGACAACCTATTCCTAATGATCAAATTAAATTGGTAGAGGACCTAAATGCATGGAACCTGTTTCCGTGGGGTTCGTATCTATGGAGAGCTACATGGAATAAGTTGTCGTCTGCCTTTAATGATCGGAAAAGTTTGCGTGGCGATGGTTCCAAATACACTTTGTCAGGCTTTATTTGGGCCTTTAAGGTAATAATTTTTATATAATGTTTCCAAAATTATAATTAATTCTTTAACAATTACTAATGTTTGTTATTATATTGTTTGTAGATTTGGATATTTGAGGCCTTTCCCGCCATGCTGACATATGCATTAAAAACTTCTAATGATATTCCTAGGGCTATTTCCTGGAAGAGGAAACGGTCCTTGCAGCAATGGGAAGATTTACTACCGTATACTACAATAAATAATGTAAGTTAACACAAATACTACCATATGTTTATAAACAAGTTATTACTAGTACACGTTTTACTTTGTTTGAGCTTTTATATTGTTAGGAGGCCAACACTCCATTACAGAGGCTGACACCCACGGAAGCTGAGCTTGCCATTGATTGGTGGCAAGCTAGTAAGCTTTTTTTTATGGCACGGATGATGAGCAACCACCACTTCGAGAGCCATCACCTGATCGACCCGAATATACACCTCCACAACGAGAGTCATCACGTATTCTGTCACATCATCGAGCCTCTTCTCCACCATCACCTCATGATAGGCGACCGGCAAAAATGCCACGAAGTTTATCTCCCTGTTCTCCACCTCCACCTCCACCTCCACGGGATGAGTTAGGGGTGTTACGTAATGAGGTTAATGCCTTGCGTGAGGAGGTCGGTACTTTACGCGATGACAATGGTGCATGGTGTGTTGAGGTGTCTACTTTACGTGGTGAGTTAACAGCTCTACGTGAGATTGTAGCATCGTTGCAGAACGAGGTTCATACTCTACGCAACGAGGTAAGTTTAATATTTTTCATATTTAACTTGATGATAAATTTACTCGTAATTTCACTTAGATTGCTTAGTAAATTCATTCGGTTGCTGCTAATACTGTTTAACTATTTATTCTTTAACCATGTGAAGTTAGTATTTGTTTTTGGTTATCTTTTGGTTGAAGTAATGCAATCCATTCAAGTTTCAATTTGCAGAAGAAGAATAGTTTACTATCGCAATGCGAAAATGACTATCGCAACGCGAAAATGACTATCGCAACGAGAGAATCGTAATGCGAAATGAAAATCGCAACAACAAAATCGCAATGCGAAAATGACTATCGCAATGAAAGAATCGCAATGCGAAATTAAAATCGCATTGCGATTCTCTCGTTGCGATAGTCATTTTCGCATTGCGATAGTCATTTTCGCGTTGCGATTTTGTTGTTGCGATTTTCATTTCGCATTGCGATTCTCTCGTTGCGATAGTCATTTTTGCGTTACGATAGTCATTTTCGCGTTGCGATAGTCATTTTCACGTTGCGATTTTAAGTTTCAGATTCTATTCTTCTTCTGTAAATTGAAACTTGAATGAATTGCATTACTTCAACCAAAAGACAAATACTAACTTCACAGTGTTGAAAATTTAAGTTTCAAGAATAAACTACTACTCTTTATGTTGTCATTGAACCTGCACTAAACCTATATGTTGTCCTTTTAAATGTTTATATAAGTGCTTACTTCTGGAATGTTATCTGATGCATTTTGTGAACAATGATATAATAATGACTTGGGTGAATACCGTGCAAGTTTGAAATATATTTGTCTTTGTTTTCACTGTTTAATATCATGTCTGTTTATTTACTGATTTATGTATTAATTTATTTTTAGCGGCCCGCTAAGGTGGATGCTCTACGTCGGGTTTTTCTTGCAAGATGGAGTTCACGTATCAGACGGCGTACACGTGCCATTACGTCTCCGTTCACCCCAATAGTGCGAAGAATCCGTAAG